GCCCGTAGTGGTAGCACGACGAAACTCCAACGAACGCGAGGCAGAGATCATCAGATAGTCACGTGCGTGCAGAAAACCGAGGCTCACGTGCGGATATCCTTGGCTCTCATTACCACCACGGTTCTGTTCAAACCACGCATTGGAGATCGCGATTCAACCCAAAGACTTGATATTTGGGTTTCCCTGACCTGACACAACCGGAAAAAAAAATCGAAACGTCTCGGATAGGCTAGTACGTGTCATTTGAGCAAGTGGTCGGGTTTCACGGGTTTCCTACTCACGTTATTCGCCCACGGTCTCGACTACCTGTAGCGAGCACGAAGCCGTAAATGCAGGCTCTTTGCTTCCATGCTGCCGTCGTGCGCCCTGAGCTCCGTTCCTCCTGCTATGCCTCATGCTGTTCTCTGCATTTGACCTGGGGCAGTGCTAATTGCTGCTGAGCGGATTGGCCAACGAGACGTAACCAAATGGAGTTCTACTGCTTATGGTACCTCTGGATCTACCTTTGGCGCTCAAAGCTATCATATCCTCGACGGTACGACCGTAGTCTCTCGGCGGCTCGGCCAGTAGGGCGCACAGTCCGTTGGTGTTTCGCTGCACCGTTGCCCCGTGGACTGACATGATGCCCGCACCGCCATTATCTGATGCGGACCAAGAAATGTATACACTAGGCAAAAAACCGACAATCATTTTTAGCCCTCGTTCCCATGAGGGACTAAATCGCTCAACTGGGAATTTCAGACGGGCTATACCATATGACAACATAGTCTCGGCACAGCAGTCACAGCACCTGGCCTGAGCCGGGTACTATGTGCTGCTTACATATTTAAAGCACCGCGACCCAGCTACTTTGTTGCACACCTTCGACCTACGACCTACTAGCACCGCCGACGATCACTGGGCCGCCGTGCTCGAGCTCGCCGTCGGCGATGGACTCCCCTGAGGGGAGACGAGTGAAGTTCGTTCCTTCCCACCATAATGATTACTACTCTCCCGACCCCACTCCGCCCAGTAGTACCCCGTCCACTCCGCGTTGGACTCCGTCTCCGCTTTCGCAACCAGACATGACTTCCGCGGTAATCCATGGTGACTACCCCGCCACTCCTCACTGGCGTTCCGTTAGCCTCCCAGACGTTGAGTTGGACGGGAGCGAGGATGGCCAAAACCTCTCTCCCGCCTCGGTGCAGCATGTCCCCCTTACTCCGCAGCCCCAAACGCCGCGTGTATCATCAAGCGCCGTGCGCTTGTGCCTCGCCCTGGCGTACAACCCTGCACACGGGCCGTTGTTACTCTGCGATGTCACGCAGAGGCCTTCAATGGCTATCGTAGCCCCCGAACATGCCATGTCGCAGACATTGGAAGATTGGCTAGCTTTACCAGCCACAGATCCTCCAGTTACGCGCATGACTCTGACATGCAAACTACTTCCTTTCACGATACTCGTGGCACCATCATCGACCGCGGCTGCGTACGCATCAGGACCTGAGTCATCCATCACGGTTGCGGACGTACTACAAGCCATCTACACATCCCTCATGGAACCTACCACCGACTACGAGATCATGCGTGCCCGTGGCGGGGATGTATCTGGATCACCTACTCAGTTCTTCTTCCCCGCCTCCGGTTACGCTGGCATGGTCCGACGCAGAAGCGATATTGTATATGGCAATAGCATGTTTCTTGGAATGACGTCTACTGGCCTCGAAGGAGAATGGCTTTTGATACTAGGAGCCAATCGCTCTGACGGTCTGCAATGATCACGAGTCACGCAATCCGGTCATTCCCATGCTCCGTGTTCATGTCTGATTGGTTTGTATTACTTTCGTACAGTTCCATGTCTGATTGGTTTGTATTACTTTCGTACAGTTCTGTTTCCTCTATGCCGTATCGTGCTGCTGTATCCATAGCCGTGTCCGAACCTATATCTATGTCATGCGATGTAGATACTAACCATGTCATCGATACCCTTATATGTGTGTACGCCACTACGTCGCCGGCGAGGGCGTTGTGGAGCGCGGAGAGCGTAACGCACAGTCACGCATATGCTGCACTAGCTCTCTGAGAGGAGGCCTTCCGGACATGCACCAGGAAACGTTCTTCGGATCGTTCAAACGGAGTCCGTCGATCCTGTGATCCAGTTGTTATTTGTACACTCCAACTTCATGACTCAATGAAACAGCCGGGACATAGTTCATATACCCTTTAGGTTAGTATAACACGATTTGATGACTGGGAATGGCGGTCTGCGCGCTGGGAATCTGCTCACGGTCTGGAGCTCAGGCAATGTTGCCGTATGATGCAGAGGCGGATGCTACTGATGCCTCTATAGGTTTGGCGGTGAACACATGTTTGGTTGTGCACAGTGTAATCATGCTGTTCGCAGGGAGTACGATGTTTTCGACCGACCTCATGTACACAGAACCGCATCCACTCTCTCTAGTCACGGAGCCAATATTCACGAGCTGAGCAGGCCTGTTAGGTTGCGCTCTCCAACGTTCCATATCGCGACTTTAGCTGACCCGCAGCATCCATACAGTCGCACAAAATGACCATTCCTCGCGCATTATATAGTTTCCACTGTTTCGCTCATTGTGGTCCATTTGTTCTTCATCGTGCACCGACATGGTATTCCTATACAAAAGCTCAACAAGAAGTTCACCGCCGATATGATGGTATGCGTACAGAAATAAAGTCTCGGCAAATGTGCCGCCTCTGAAACGAGCATTCGTCGCTGCGGAAACGGATCGTTTACGAGCTTTATTCAGCCTATCACATGTCGAAGATTCTACGAAGAACTTCTGGATACTCACATTCATATGTAGGGCAACTGAACGCAATCTGGCGGTCATCCGTTATGTAAGCTGGCGAGTTTCTGTGCACGGATCCTTTTCTCATAGACCGGAAGGATTCGCGTATTCCAGTCAGCGTGTTATGTCAATCTAGAAACGGATGAGTCGGAACCTGTAGTACCTTGAGCCTTCCCTATCGAGATGAACGTTCCTTAAAATGAAATGAGCAGCTGATCCATGGTCATTCTCGCCAAGGTTCGAACCTTTTCATAAACACCGTCTGCCTGCAGCCGCGGTGACTCAGCGTCATCGTGAACTCTAAACGTGTTTGAGGCCGAAAAGCCACATATGCGTATGTCAGGCCTATCATGAGTCCAGCCTTCGAAGGTCCAGACTCGAAAGCGTTCATTCAAGATGCCGCATGCGGAAGGTGTCACTCGCCGACAACGCTTCGCTGCTAATCCGGGCCATCCGAGGGACCTTTCGCAAGTCGGATTCCACGCTCTAGAAGCCCAAAGGAAGCCCGGCGCGAGGCTCTCGAGGGGTGCAAGAAGAGGCGTAGCACATGTATCCCGGTTTGTTAACTCGCGCGGTGAGTCAGCTTTCGAGAGATAGTCCGCCCGGTCGGTGCCCTTTCCCTGTGGTCGCGTCTACAATGGCACGTACAGTCGTGGAGCGGGGTGTACGTGGTTTGAATGGCGGTATATATGGCGGTCGTTAGTTTCCGCTCACGAGATGGTCGTGAGGGGCGAACTTTGAACAGGATGCAGGGAGCTTCGACGACGACCACCTACTGGGTTAGCGTCGTATGGCGCCGATGACATGACGTGCATGCATATACGAAGCGAAACACAAGCTTCCCCCTACGGCCAACCGCCATGAGCAGCAAACACGCACCTCAGGCTTCGAACGTACAAACAACAGGGTCGTCGGCCATAAGTCGACCCGGAGCAATATGCACCATAAACAGATAGTCATTTTACACGGGGACAGGTCGAGGAAGTTCGTCCAAACATCGACGAGCGGCGGAGACTGCGCTCTCTTCCTCAGTCCATTCAGAAGCAGGTAGTCAATACATGCTCTTGCCACTTACGAGAGCGGGACGCGGGAGGTGGCGAGGGGCCAGGATACAGATGGGAAAGTCGCCAGGGGCAAAGCATGTGCGCCCGCACTTGCCACGGGAGGAAGCGCGGGGTATATTCGGTGTGGGGTAACGTGCTCGGGATCTGAGTCCGCTCTGAGGGTTACGGGTCACGCCAAGTCGGGAAAGCCGGTGCCACTGTTTGGGCGCGAATGCGAACAAATGCCGTAGGGAGTCACAAACACATACAATTGCGACAAGAATTCGGGAGAGTGGATGCGCATATACGGACAATATCCGGATCGTGTATGCCGGAGCCGTAATCCAGAGGGCAGAGGGTGTACAGGGTACAGAGAGGGGATTTAGAGCGGGAAATAACCGACGAGGTAGATAGTCACGATCGGGACACGGGGGCAAACAAGGCGGGCGGTACATGTACACTCTGGGGATGGTAATCGGATGAAAGGCCGGTTCGTGTATATCGGCGGGGTCGGGTGAAGAAGATCCATGATACAAGTTCCGTAAAAGCGATCCGCGATTTCTTTCTGTTTTTGAGCGTTTTTGTTTCCGGTTCCGGGTGTCCGAGACTGAGATAGGCCGAGGAATTGTCTAGTGAAGGGGACCCAGTCAAGTGTAGAAAATGTTTGAGGGCTTTAACGTTATCTCGCAGAGGGATGATCCGGGGTCATCAGAGGTCGTAGATCTGGGCAGTGAGTTTGGCTGAATTGGTACGGGCTGAGGCACGTTCAGAATGTTGAGCCCGCCACAGGTTTGAAAAGGGCGGAAGCTACCGTGTACGCCGCCGTTTCGTATCCTGGGGTATGGACCAGCTCGACCTCCGTGGGGTTGTATTCCTCCGGAATGAATTGGGTGTGTCCCGCCCAGCCGTCGAGCGAAGAGTAAGCAGGGCTTGGCGTGTAGCGATGCGCGTACTGGCCATCCGAAGAGACTGGATGTGGTCGATATTCCGATGTGGGCATCAGAGGCGAGGCCAGTGGCGAGGACGGCGTATGGGCGGCGTCGTACGCGTACATGGATGCTGGGCTGACCGTATCCGTGGACGGAGACGCCGGTGATGGTGGCAAAAGCTGAGAAATCAATGATATCATGTTAGCTGAAACGTGTAGCATCATGCATCACGAACGCGAAATGCCAAAAGGTGCCAATATAAAATAGTTCGGCGACATATGTGGATCGCGCGGAAGGAAAGGGTATAACAGGACGTACTCTGAGTCCGGGCATCTCGGGCCACACCTGTGAATGGCCGTGCCTATTGATGGACATCGGTGTGGACGGAGACGAGGGCGGGAGTGCGGGGTCTTCAAGCATCTCTGTGAAGCTCATGACAGGGCTAGGCGACGATGGCATACCATCCTGGCGTCCTGGAGAACTTGAGTAAGGGCTATGCAGGATGTGCTGCCCACGGTGATGCATTTCTGCCGGAGGGACCACGGCGATCGAGTTGCGGCGCAGCATGGCACTCATGGTGGTATTGGCCAAGAGCTGCGGCACTTCGCCCGCGCTTAGAGGCGATACAGATGTAGGGGACATAGGGGGCGCCATCGGTACCGTGGGCGAGGGAGAAGGGAATGGGACACGCGTATCGGATGCAGGGGCAGATGACGACCGGCGGAACATGGCAGTGAGCGGGACGTCGAAACGCTTGTCCGAAGTGGTCCCGTCGGTAGTCGCAGACGCGTCGCTCTCGACAGACCCTCTACGAACCTCATCGTCTCTGATGGGCTCCTGAGGTTTCTTCTCGTTTTGCCTCGCGCTTCCCCCTGCATTCGTTTCGAGCCCCTCCTTCTCGCTCGCGCTTTCTTCCTTCGGTGCTCTGGCCTTTCTCCCTTTTCCTTTCGCTCGTCCGTCGGCCGCCTCTCCGCCTCTCCCTTTCCGTCGTCTTCGACTTCCGCCGCCTCCGTCCTTTATTCGCGCTTTGGCTAGTGCGTTCGCGCCTGGTCTGAATCTCCAGTCGGGATACTTCTTGCGATGCTCGGCCTGAGCCAGGAGCGCCTTGGCTTCCCAGTATTCACGTTCATGCGGCGGGAGCTCCTTCCACAATTTACCTGTGGACCGTCACTAGGATCAGCGACCGAACGATGCACTCAGGCCAAGCTCTAGAGAGAGAGCGCTCACCGATGACCTTGGAGAGCGTGCAGTTGTTGGTGTTCTTGCCCATGCCCGGGACGTGGTGCGTCTTGATGAACGACGAGCGGAAGAGGATGAACGCGTTCGGCGGTCGCGGGATATACGATGGGTCGCGCGGGCGTTCGCGCCTGCCCTTGCTCGGACTGTCCGGTGCCAGGAACGCGGGCGTGCTCGGCTCGAGAGGGGGCGAGTACATGGACGAGTAGTCGGGTGCTTGCGCGTCCGACACGACTTCGAACCGCGTGGGGTCCGACGAATAGGTGATTGGTGTCATGTCGGTCGCGAACGTGAAGGTCATGCTGGGGTTTGGGTTGTCGACGAGCGGGGGCATGTCCATCTCAATGTCGTCGAGTTCTTCGAGATGTCCCCCACCGTCGACGATGTGTGGCGGGAGAAGCGGTGCGTCGACCAGGGGCGGCATGTCTGGCAGAGGACCTGGGGTATATATCAGCTGGCGCACAAGGTTATGATAGATGAATGCGCCGCACCGTCCTCGAAGGTCGTGAACATGAGCGGCCTCTCGACGAGGGGGGGCATGCCGTCTATATTGGGTCGATGCGCGTGTCAGCTTGGAGGCCACGCGGGTACCGCGTGCAGACGCGTCTCACCGTCGTCGTCGTGCACGTTGCGGGCCGCCGGGGCGCCGCGTGGCATAGTGGATGCTTGGAGGATCGCCAGAGCTCGTCGTGGGCAACGTCGAGGAGAGAGGCGAACTCGAAACAAGGTTTTGCACTGGTGTGAGCGAGACGCAGGAAGACTTTATGCTGCGTTTGGCAAGTCGGCCGTTTCCCACCGCCATCTCGCGCGCTCGGTGAGAGACAGTCCCGGATCGGGCGATGGCGATAACGACACGGCCACGGAACGTGCCGCGGGCTGCGAGCCACGTGTTTCCCCTCTTCGCCGTCGTCCCGCCCTCGGCCGACGCGCCCGTCGCTGTGAAAGGCGCCCAGTTACCATAACGGGACCAGGAGCGCCTGGTGTCGCCCTCTCCTCCAGATCGCCGTCCCTGCACCTCCTCGCCGTTTACACCATCGTTTCCGTATGCGCTGCGAGCCGGGCGCTCCCGCACCCGGTCCTTTGGGCCACGATGTCCTTTCGGACCATCGCGCCGTCTAGAAACCCGTGACCCCTCCCGCTTCCCCAGCGCTGTCAGCGCTGATATATCGAATACTGTAAACCCGGCCCATGCGTTCGCAGAGTCGCCCGTCCATCACGGTGGTCCCGCCGCAAGCTCCGGAGAGGCGAAGAGACAATAGAAACCGGCGGACTGTCAAGTCTTTTTTTTGCCTCGAGGACGAGGAAGAGGTCGGGACTCGGGAGGTGGCGCAGCGGCCGCGGCACAACCGTCGCTGTGCGCCTCGTGGGAAGGACCCCGAATACTGATGCTCGCGTTTACCGTTTGCTTCGGCAATGAATCGATGAGAGGCCGATGCGATGAGCAGTAACAACGAGACCTGGTCAACTCGCCGGTATCCTTACGGTATCCTAACTCATAGATCCGCAAGATGCTTCCGATGTACGAACCGAACAACTTACAACGTCGCGCTCACCTATCAGACTACTGTCCGAGGTCTTTGCAGGCGTCCATATTCCTTTTCCATCTTCCATGGCGTCCCTCTCATGCTCCACCGCCATACACTGAACAGCCATATACACGTACTCAATCATCTCCGAACCCGCACTTACCTTGGTCCAAGCGAAATAGCCATCTATCTATCCGTGCGATCATCCGACCATCTTCGGGGCGCCTGCTCCGAATATTTTGCAACGTTGCATACGGGACTGCGCAACGCCGGACTCGGAACGCTCGGTACGCGTCGCTTCGTGCCACAGCAATGCGCACGAAGGCCCGAAGGAAGTCTCTTCCCACCTGAACGTTGAACGCTTCCAACAAGTGAGCGCATAACACTCCGGAAGGTCGGCCTCGCGATCCGGAGCAATCTATCCGCCGCATGCAAAAGGCTACGCATCCCGTTCGCTAATCTAATCTCGAATCCTCGGGCTTCACCAAAGCTATCCAACTTCTTCCTCCGGATTTGTTCTCTACCGTCGGATCTAGTGCCCGATGTTATGGCGAGCTTTGCATGCGCGCTCGTAGGACTGGTGGCATGGTGGATCGTACCGAGACTGCGCGTCGCACGCGAGCTACAGAACTCGCACCCCCCCTCCCCCGCCTTCATCGCCTGCGCATTTGACCTCGCCGTCCATGCCTTGATCTAATCAGTACCACGCCTGCAATCCGCGTCTAATCGTATCCTATAGCGTGGAATCAGTAGCGCTCCGCAGCGACCTTCCCAGCTGATCCGCCCTTCCATTTCCTCAACATTTCGCGCTCAGGCTTCCCGTCCCAACTCGCACTACCATGCCAATATGCAAACTCACTGTGGCACGATGCACACGGAGGGTTTACCGACCGGACCGACACCCGAACGCTTACACCGACGTCACTGATCCGCCAACACTTTCTGCTTCCGTCTCTTGCTTTGGTGCCCTGACGACCCGATGCAGATGGCGAATCGTGATCCGCATCCGCTTTCGCTCTCCTTCGACTTTCCCCCTTGGACCCACGGGGCCTGCGCGGACCGACCTTACCGGAAGCGCCGCATCGCAACTTGACTTCCTTTTCCGTTATTGCCATTTGGGTCACGGTTGGCCTCCGGATCGTACTGAGCCCATACGGTGGCGGCGCGGAATGCCCAATCCCTTCTTTCATCACCTCCGTAGCTGCCCTTCGTTGTCACAACTTTCCGCGGACCCGCAGAACAACGGCATAAGTCGTAGTCGACCGACGAGGCGCACACGCGGCTCGATTGAATGGCAGCAGGCATCCTCCCCGCCGTTTGCCCGCCTGATATGTCAACGACTAGAAGAGCTCTACGCCTCAATGCCTACATAATTTCCGTTCGAAGTCACTGTTCGCTGGTCGGACGTCGGTCCAGAGCCACGAGAATTGCAAAAAGACGGCGCCGGCAGCAGCTTCGCAGGCTAGATCGAGTCTCGATTCAACGACGCCGCTCCGAGTCTGTCGCAACGTGCTGTACTCTCGATCCACTGTGTCGTAGGAATCATGCAGGACATCCCATACTACTCTGCGCATTCCATGGATAGACTCTAGGGACAGGTTTCGTACACGAGTGGCCGCCGCCGACGTTCGGCGAGATTCTCAAGTTTATATCCTGACGAGCGGATATACTACCTGGGCGTCTTGACCCTGAACCCCAAAATCCGTACGAGGAAGGCAGAAAAGGCGAGTAGACACAGCCATGTACAGAAATGTTCTGAGATACCCACTGCAGATGTTTTGGCCGTGATGTCGATACTCATTTGACGGTTCAGTACCCATGACTTCGCGCCACATGAAGTTCGTGCAGAGAAATCCGCGGGAAATGACCATTGCGCTGGGTACGGGGCTACATCTTACCCTTGCATGCAGCTGATCCGACATTGCACCCGTCGGGATCACGGCGATGCACGAAGCGCAAACGTTTGTCGTTCCCATCGCCTTCGACGCGTCCCGGCCTACGAAATGAAAGTATTCCCCACCTTCGGATACTCTTTGGGTCCCCCCCCACGCGAGATGAACTGCTCGAGACGAGTCTTCCGATAGGGTTCCTAGTAGCAGTTTCCATCCCGAGTATCGAAGTTCATTCGACGAGTGGGCGCTGCCTCGAAAAGAGCAAACGTTCTTATAATATGTAATCTGCCAGTCTCATTTCCGTTAGTGTTCTGAACGCCAGAAGCGTCGAGAAAGGCAATCTGATGGTTTGAGAATCGCCGCGAACCCTGTACGTTCGCCGTGCGATCAGACACGCCACGCACCCTGTACGATCAGACATATCGTGTACCAATCTTTTAGCCCACGATGTCCAGTACCGAGGATATGCATGTCCTTGATGTACTTACATCGAGCTCCGAGCGCAGACAATTTTCTGGTCTTCCACTTAGTCAGTACTGAGGTCATACAGAACGTCGCTTTTTACGTAGGCTCATCGCTCTCACGAGATTATCCGATGGTCATCATGTGCGAAAGCGCCTCAGGATAGTACCTGATGGGTGCGGTACGCGAAGTAGGCAGTGTTGAGGCGCTTAGATGTCTTTTGTGCATACTTCGGGCAAACTGCCTGATCTCCGATGCGCGTAAAACGCGGAAATGGTCCTCCCTAGTCGTTGCACATGATAGATATGATCCATCCTGTCGTGTACGCTGCTCGCGACGTATCATCTGATAGCGCGCTAGTTTAATGAACGCGGGAAGAGACGGGAAGAGGTTCATGAATTATTTTATCTCACCGCCTGCTGCGCAGAGAGAAGCGAGTAAGGATATGTGCATGACGAAAGCACACAATCGCACCCTCTCTGCAAGATACTGCATCCGTTGAACATCGAGGATGATTGTAGGTTGGGCCCTAAATTGCAGAAGACTCCGGCATCCTATCCGAGTGCATAGCGGGCCTATCGGCGGCACAGAACCTACGATCATTTGCAACCCTCGAACTCTAACCGGATATCCACAAGGTCCGTTCAGAGCTTCCCCTTCGGGCGATAGCAGGCGGGCTCGCCGGAATGGTGGCTCCTTGATGCCATATGCAGCAGAAGGCGGAGATCGACCACCTGATCAGGATAAGCTGCCCCAGAAAGGTGGATTTTAATCGCCGGTGGGGCTTCGTCGAGGGCGTGAGGCTGTCTCACATCCGTTGAACGAGCCCCCCCTCTTGTCTAGGACAACAGCAGTGCCCCCCGTATAGGTACGAGGTACACCACAGCCCCTATGAAGTCTGTTGCGCGTGGCTCAGGTTAGACAGGGGACCGGTGAAAGCGGGACCGGGTCAGGTCAGGGCGCACGGGACAGGATCAAGACAGAAGAGGCTCTAGAAATCTCGATCGCATGGTCATCAAAGCGGTTTCCCACGGCTGTTAATCTTATCTGACTTAGCGCGATTAGACATTCTTGTTTTCAGTTTTGTGCACGTTATCCGTGGACAATTACGGAGAACTCACTTGTAGCGTAGCATGTAACGACCCTGGTTCCAAGCTAACCGGAGAGTGGACACAGTATGTTATGTCTTGATTCAAAGCGTCTTGACTTGAAGACCGGCTTTAGCTTCCGCGCCGGTGGTCCGTAGTATCCCGAAGATCTATATGAAATTCTGATGAATAGCCGGGAACCGACAGTTCGGTAGCAAGATCGAACGAGCGCACTTGACTTGCAGTGGCGTGCTTTCAGCCAACCTTATCTCGTGCTAGAATGGAGCATCCCGAGCTCTCGACTCTGAGGATAGGAGCCACCAAGTATGCAATGAAATCCGAATATATCTTAGGACTTGCTCGCTCAAGCCCAATAAGGGATGCCTTGTGCTTAGTGACCAGCGGTAACGTAACGCACGATGTTTATTCGCCGGTGAGAGTATACGCATTCATAGGAAACGAACAGCGTACGGGCCTCCGTGGAGACTGACAAACCCGCGGATGCACCAATAACATTCGTGCCGAGGAGGCGAACGCCACATCAGAGCGCAGTGATATCGACAGTAACACGCACCAACATACGCACCTGGATGTCTGAGACCGCGTCGGGACGGCCTTCAACGAGACTGGGCCGACGCACAAGACGAGATCACGGGTGCTAGACCAACCGGAGATCGGCGCACCGCCTGTTATGCGGGGGAGGGATGAGCTGTCGGCTTGCCGACGGCGCAATTGTGGCGACAGCTTGAACCTCGACATGCGGCTACGAGCCGCCTGCGCAGACGACTGTTTATTGATAGCCGAACAGAGGTGAATCTGATGGACGGGTATTACTGGCCTCGTAATGTCTCCGCCGATGGCGGCATCCCAGGTGGGGGCGTATAGATCAAAGCAAGTGAGACTGCCTAATATGGCTAGCCCGCATAAGCGTATAGGCGTTCGCGAAAGAAGGCAAACGCCACTCACTGGACATTTGTGGGCGTATATCTTACACGGATTGCCAGCCGCCATATGGCGAGTGAAAGATGGCCGAGCACGGTGATCGATGCTTGTGACATGAGCACATTCATCGCGATATTCGTGACCATAAATCGCGTTAAATGCGCTGCACAATCATGGGGGTGAAATTTTCATTTCGATGCCGTGGTTCTGGAGAGAAACCTGCACTGCGTCAGCCGAGCCTCCAAAGCCGTTGGGTGCGGTCATGGAGCACACCGAACAAATCTGCCAGTGCGCAATCAGTCGGGGAGCTGTTCTCCACCGCGAGCAGCGGAATGGCGCCCATCGAATGAGAGATATGACGATGAGCTCCATGGATGTCGCGCATAAGGTCGTTCGCGTCGGGCCTGGCGAGCAAATGCGATGTATCCAACGTCTCGACCACCAGCGCGGTTCTAGAAGCTGGAGACGGGTGAGATAGCGAGCCATCCGTGTGATGGATGAACCGTTGCCCAGCGCGGGTCGGCGCGGAACGATGTCATTGCGACCATGCACCACCGCCGTTACTATTAGACACAATAGCCAGGTCTCGGGAAGAGTCAGACGCCTCGCGCTTCAAATTGCGAACTGAAGGGAAGCACAGCACGGTTTCAGTGGCAATGAGTTCCAAGGCCGGATGGAATGCGAGAAGCTGCCGTTGCACTTTGCAAACCAGCGCGCACCGGTCCGCAGGGGGTCATGCTACGCCGATATCATGGCGGGCGGATCGTTGAGTCGCGCATCGGACAATGAGCATCCTCACGGACGCGAGCAGCGATAACGCGACCTGACTCCGGATGAACAATGGGGTGGAGAGAACGCGCAGGAAATCTAGAACGTCTTCCCCGAGGGCTATTGTCGAGTGGGTGGCGGTAAAGATGCGACGCGATGGCGCGACCGCGAGAAGGGTGCAAAGATGTGAAGGGCGACCGCGCCAATCGTTCTGGTGCAACATCATGGCCAGATTTATGAGCGGAACAGGGAGAGCCGGCCCCATTGTAGCCCAAATCAAGAAAACGGGGCACAGGAGTCCAGGGCCGGAAAAAACCCGCGGCGGCGACTCTGCCAGAGAGAGTCATATACCTACCAAGAGCGACAATCTGTTCAGTTCGCATATAGGACGAACGGTGAGATCGAGCGCAAACCTGACTCACCGTGCAAGCTTGGTGGAGGGTGGGTGCCAACGGCACTTTCCTTTAGAGTTCATGGAATTCAATGCGGGTTCGGATGCTATGATCGCCGGGTTTTGCGGGGAAGTAAGCTTTGCGATGTGGGCGGTTCCCACTTCAGCTACACCCCGCTACTCCATATTATTGATTTACACCCTCAAACTCGCAGAATGTGGCGACGATGCAGGGTGTTCGGACGCTGCGCCCGAGTGCGAAATGGTGGCGACGCTGGCAGAAGGTCGGGTGACGGAAAACTCGTCATTTCGGGCAGGCGTGACACGTCACACATGGTTCCATGCTCTCGGATCTCACATGCCACGAACGGACACCCGCGCGTCCTCTTGAACCTTCCTCTTCCATCGACCCGAGCCCATTCGCAATTCCGTCATCTGAGAGAACTGCGTAAAAGTGTCCCGACATTTCCGACCCGCTTCGGACGAAGCGCGACATCAGTAATGGCAATGTCGCCGCACTACACTGCCTGTACCCTGTGCCCAGCGCCTCGAGGGTGGCCACGCTGAAGGAAATGTCGTAAACAATCCCCAAAGAATGCCGAAGCTGCCCCAGCCATGTAGGACACCGGTCCGGATACCAGAGTGAGACAGTGTCCTGGACCTAGGACTACCCGTGCCCGATCCGGGACTCTGAAGAGAGACGCATTCGATGCACCGGCCACAGGCCTGACCATATCGGGTGCCCTGAGAGTCTTCGAATTCATACGTGTACTAGAGTGCGTATGCATTGATCTCGAGAGTGTTCGTGGAATAACTGCCTTACGGTTCTAGCCTAGAGAAAATGGGATGTAAGACGGAAGTTGATATTGAATGTACTTGCACTAGCTCCGCGTTCATCTGCATGGATGTTTCCAGGAGACGAAGTAGCGGTGGCGTCGTATACTTCGCTCGCAAAATGCCAACCGTCAATCGATGTCCATTGACAACCTCGGGCCACAGAACCATTCGAGCGCACAGTAGCTAGCGATCTGACCTGGCGAGCATACGATTGATTGCATTGTCACCGGCGTTTTCATTTCCGTACAACGCTTTAGATCAGATAACATACGAGTTGGGCGACCCCGCTGAAGAGACTGCCTATGCGAAGGACGAGTCCGTCGTTGTTGCGTGATCGGCGTCTTCGGAGAATGCAGAGAGTGCAAGTGTTCATCTCGGATATCCTAGAACGTCAACGCCAGTGGTGATGCGCGGGAGCGTTCAGTAACTTGAGCCGGAACTCACTCCGGTCTCTCGCTGTCTCTCGCGGCATGGAGATCCGAGCACCGGTGATCCGCCGTCGGAACGCGCAGGCATACGGGCGGTGTCCTGCTTTGTCCCACTTCTGTCTGATATCGCTTCGGGCTCCATATCGCACTGCAGCGCAGCGTTGAATAGCCGGCGGAGAATCTGTTCATGTGATGCCGGACAGGCGGGGCCCACCTCCGCGAGCGCGTCCTAGCGTTCGCTATCGCAGATGGAACAAGGACACCCGTATCAACCTTTTCGGCCAGGTGCGCCATGGCAGGGCAGATGGATGCGATTTAATATCCGTGGACTTGTTGAGCGGGGGTACGGACCGTTCCGAATCGGCTGATGGGGATCAAGGGCATGATACGGAAGTATATCGTGCTTGAGCAAGACGAGCCCAAGCGCGTCGCGTCGCGCGACGAATGAGGCAGGCGTAGTGGTTTGCGGGTCCAGTGACGACGAGCACTGCTGTGGGCGTCAATCTCGCCGACGCCTATCGGGTGCTCGAGCGGGAGGAGGACTCGAGGGGAAAGTATCCGCCGCTCGGTGTCCTAGTTGCCTTTCTGGAACACCGGCGCTGACCGGCACGGCTGGACCGGCAGATAGGGTCGCAGCTGCCGCATCGGGCAGGTTGAACGCACCGCCGATCTTGCCCTGAGCGCGGGCGGGTGGGTTCGTCGGAGGAGCGTGACGGCGTGCCGAGACGACTGGCGGTGGACGGTGCAGAGAATGCGCGTTACGTCGGGTCCCACGGGAAATTATCGAATATCTACCCGAGCGATGGCAGATTATCTAGTCAGCGGACGCAATAACGGCATGGGAAAAAGCTTAATGCCACGCTCGTTCCCATCGTGCTCCTGAAAGACAATAAGCAAGGACACCGCTCCTCTGTTTGCGCACTGTTTGGCCAGGAAATGGAGAACGCCCTCGCGTCTGAATTCGGCACACGGTCCCTAGAATGTCTCATTTGGGACTGAACAATGAGCGAGATGCGGGCGAACTCCTCGCTCGTGTTACGTCCGCCGGAACCTTCCCCCCATCCACCTGGCCAAGACTATAAAGCTCGTCCCCCGTATTGTCTCGGCTTCGACCTCCGCCAGAGCTAATTGTCTTTGCCTCGCCAGTCCGGACGAAACAAAGGGAGCCATCCATCCTGCTCGAATCTCCATTATCTCCCTCTTCCCCCTCCCCATTCACCGCCCATCCGCCTCGAGCAGGCTCGCCTCCCTTTCCTTTTCGGTCGCTACAAAGACACTCTGAACAATCGTTCATCATGCCCGCCTACAGGACGCGCGATGCGCACCCACGATGTAAGGGAATCAGCTTATCGGACCATCGAACCAACTTGCTCACCTTGACGCGATGCAGCACTCGAGATCACCACGGACGCGCCCCAGCTGGAGCCCCCCAGCGTCTCCATCATCGCCCCCACGCCCCGAGCATTCACCTTCCCTATCAACACCGGTCCCTTTCCACCGTCCGTCGCCAGTCCGTTCTCCTCCCCCTCGGCGTCCCCCTTCGACGAAAGTCGCTCGCCGATCACGCCTGTGTCGACACCACCATTAGTTCGCACCTACACCCCTTCATCCGAGTTGTCCTCACCTACGTCCTCCTCCGTGTACTCCCCCACCCGCGGAACGCCCGCTTCGCAGTGGCGTCGTCGTAAGTCTTCCGGTTCCGTGGTCACTGAACCCGAGCGGCGGCCCAAGAAGGGCGACGAGGACTACATCAAGCGCCCCGAGAACGCCTTCATCCTCTTCCGCCGGAAATGCGTAGAGGATCGCCTGCAGGCCGCGCAGGAGCAGGCGGAGTCGTCCTCCACGAGCGGCGAGAAGGGCAAGGTGAAGAAGCAGCGGCAGGCGGATCTGTCCAAGATGATCAGCCAGCAGTGGAAGGCGCTGACGCCGGAGGAGAGGACGCACTGGGAGGAGCTTGCGAAGGAGAAAAAGAAGGAGCACGAGGCGCTGTACCCCCACTACGTTTACCGCCCGCAGCGCGTCAAGAAGAGCGAGAAGGCAAAGGCGGCGGCGTCTAAGAAGGGGAAGGGTGCGGCGAGAGGTGAGGAGTACGAACCGGACTTGGACAGTATGTCCTTCATCCTCCCGATCCCGGCGATGCCTACGTCTGCGCGCCACGGACGTTCGATATCCGCCCCGACGCCTCCGGTCGCATACCAGACGATCCAGCTCCCGAGCATCTCCTTCATGCCTTCGTGCCCCAGCTCTCCGACGCTCGGCCCGATGCCTCCCATCCGGAGAAGCTCCGTCGACCGGACTCCGCGTCCCACCGACCGATCATACGAGGCTGCGCCGTCTCAGACCCTCATGCCGCCCATGGCAGCACCGACGGACTACTCGTCGACCTTCGTGAGTCGCCTGCTTGCTCGATTCGCGTTCGCATTTATTGACGCCCTACGTAGCCTGGCCAATATCAGGGAATGTACGAGTTGCGACCACTTGTGTTCCCCGATCAGTCGCAACACCCGTCGATGAGCCTCCCTCCGCTCACCATGCCTGCATCACAGCACTCCACGATGCAGCTCGTCTCTCCAGCCGACTCGATCGCGTCCGGACCCGGATCTCCCGGGCCGTTCACCCCTTCGTCGAACCTCGGCGTCGGCATCATGATACACGGCGAAGAAACCAATTTGGCATGCGGCGGCGGCCAGGAGCACGACTTCGCGTTCGACATGGCCATGCCCGACCTCGTGTACCCCGCGTGGTCGTGGGAAGGCCAGGCGCTATGGAACCCTTCAGAGTCTCTGCTGCAGACGGAGGACTTCGACCTCCACGCGATCCCTCCTATCGAGCTGGGTCTGCCCAAGTACGACGCGGGCGACGTGCACGAGCAGCAGATCGCGGAACAACAGCAGCAGCACGACAACACCCAGCCGGCGATGCCGTCGTCGTCCTCCGATTGCGGACCCCAGACCTCGACCGGCCCGTGGTTGCTCAGTGCGTCCGACGCACGCTCGGACGGGGGCCACGACCCCTTCGCTGGCATCTCGTTCGACGACATGATGCTTTCCGACCGATTCTAACGATTTCGTCAGCGCGCCGGCTCGCACTGACAGCAAGAACGATTCTCTTTACGGACACCCACCTTGTACCGCTCTCATCTGCCCGCCTCCACATTCTCATCCGACATACAACCTTTCACTTCATCATCTCCTGCGACTCCTTTGGGCACCAATGTTGTACGGGTTATTGTTGTATCCGCACATCCCCAGTCCGCCACTGTAACACCACAGCGCGACCTCTCTGGCCACTATCATCACCACCAGCATATGTACGCACCCCCGCCCATTCCAAGCCTCTTCCGCGCCAGCTCAACCGGCATTGTACTTCCCCCTCCTCATTCTCCATCTCCAGCATAACCGCACGGGCGTTCCTTGCTTATTAATTATTATTACCTTACGCTCATTTATTCTTTTTTCATTACTATGTACTCACCAGAGGATCGGAAATCGAGAACGACATTGCTACAACCAATTTCTTCACCGCGTTGCATTGACTTTGGAATTGGAGCTAGTAGATGCGCATGAGATGTAACGACTATGACGTAGACAGAATGGATAACCTCACCATTCACTGTTGCGAACCTTGCCATTGCGAACTATTGTCTGCGTCGTCAGGCAACTGAGTTTCGGTGGTCGTTGCGAAGGAGGTGAGACACGGTGAGCAAGCCTCCGGTGAATTCAGCGACTTGATAGCGGGACCTGACGCTTTTGGCAGAAGACAATAAGGACGTGCATGTGGGGTACCGAGATAAGATCGACTTGCCTAGACGACTCGCAATCGCTAGGAACGGATCTCGATCGAGTGTCTTCAAACGTCGTTGAACCGGCGGAAAAAACCCGCTACCTGTTTCCTCCTATCACGAGTTACCGGACTAAACCGAATGAGCCTCCCAAGCTAGCAGCTGAGGCCTGCCGGAGTATGGATTGTCAGGGGTACGGTGAATAAGGTTGCGGTTCATGGACGTTGATCCAAGGGCGTCGCTCCATTACAGGAACCAAGACTGCCATGATGCACGGAGTTGGCAATCTCGACATCGCTGGAAAGCCTTGCCGTATGTCGGCTAGCCGCATAATGGCAAGATCTGTCGAGCGTCGATGGTACACCGACGCGGTTGCCAGCGAACGTGTTGACCTGTTTCATCTTTTGTCAACCAAGCGGCAGGGGGGTACGGACGTCCTAAGACGCAGACGATGAAACACCATTGCGACAATAAGTAGCCTTCAGAGAGAAGGCGAGTCAAAGATACTGGGCGTCAAGGCGTTGGTCGTCCAGGCGGCGCGTGTGCAGACAAAAGACCGACGACGACGACGAGGAACATCTTTGCTTTGCGAACACGTGACGGCAACACTATCCAGCCGCGTTTTGTTTTCTGTGGTGTACATCTAATCTGCATGTTGCCTGCCTGCCTGCACGCCAAGCGTGACAACAAGATATCGTGCCTCCTCCTGAATCCAAGGTGATGGGATTAGTTGCGCTTCTGAGAAGCCCGAAGGGATCGACGCCGGATCACGCACTACCGTAATATTCCCATCTCAAGTTGAACTCCTCCGACGCGCCTCTGCAAGTCTCGTCAAACTGGCGGATATTGGTATGCTGGCTTAATGGCGGGAGCTACTTTCGTCGTATCGCTGTTTGCGAACGTCTTCCCGAGCTCAGTCCATGTGGTGGAACAAGGTTTAATTCATGGAACGTGGCGGCAGGGCCTCGAGGCGATCCGTTATGCTCGGAACGAATGATCAGTGAGCGAGGCGACTTTGGCGTACCCTCCTTGTATCTGTGCCCTGGAGAATCGCTGTGCTCAAGTCGTCAGCCGCCCCATGCACCATGCCCCCGATTCCCTCTCTTCCTGCTGAAGACAGGGAACCCCGTCGCAAGGCCTTGCTGATCGGTATCAAGTATGATTCCAGCGGTGAACAAGAATCCCCCGAATCTGGAGCACTTATAGGACCACATTGCGACGTTGCCAATTTCAAGCAGTTCATCATGGGTTAATTGCGCTGTCCTTGCCCTGTTTCAGAGGATAAGTCGCTTACCACCGGATGTTCTGTGCGTCGATCCAGAATTCTACCATTATTGCGAGACGGATATCATCATCATGCAAGATGACCCCTTGACACCAACGCACTTGCAACCTTCGAGGAGGAACCTCGTGAGTCTATAGAAATCAGCCTTCATCTCTTACTTTGACACTCCTGCAGCTTCATCAGTTCAAAGCTCTGGTAGAAGGTGCACAGGAAGGAGATCGTTTTGTGCTGTACTGTGAGTTTGACCGTATCAACGCACGTTATCCTAATCGAAACTTCCGGATAGACTCTGGCCACTCGCGCCAGGTCGAGAATACAACCGGATCAGAAGAGGATGACATGGACGAAGGTAACTAAACCCCACAGACCTACGCTGAATGATGTCTGACGAACCTAGCTCTTGTACCATGTGATGATACCGGACACGACGAGATCAGAGATAATGTACGCCCCGCTATTACGAACCTTGCTCCCATCAACTTCAACAGGTCACCGTAGGTTCTTAAACAACTGCTCGTCGATCCTCTTCCTGTCGGGTGCACATTGACTGTACGTTTTGACCTCGATCTTTGTACCGATGAACCGACTCGATCCTGATGTTACAGGCCATATTCGACACGTGTCATAGTGGTACTATGCTAGGTAGGCCGAACGCTACGAATCGACGCTTCGCTAAATCGTAATCCCTGATAGACCTTGACCACGTACATTGTCATAACGTTTACGTGCCATATATCTACAAAGGAGAGCGTGACGCATCTCTTATCCGTAATGCTAATGGTAAGTTATTCAGCTGCCATGTTTCGAGTATCAGCTGACGCCAGCTTCATAGCCCGCAAGCTTGCCAGATGTAAGCGTGTCTGCTGGACAGAGATTGTCCCAAGTTACTCACCCATTCAAATGTAGTTTCATCGGGCCGAATCATCTCTTCCCAGCGTCGTAACGCCGAGGAGGTCGAGTCTCGCAAAGGAAGCTTCCAAGGTCTGCCGGCGACATCCATCAAGGCGAAGCAGCTTCAATGGCGCAATACCATGCAAATCTTCCCCTCTCACTTTGCCGTGCCTCCGATCTTGCCAGAGCCCGTTGAGAATACTGCCCCTACTCGTGCGTGGACGGACCCGGGCACCCCCTCCAACATCGGCACGACATTCGAAGGCATGGATGTCGTCAGCCCAACAAGCCCCGACTTCTGTATCACCCCCCCTTCAGGTATCTTCCCCGGTCGTTTGACAGTGGCGGATCCGAATTCGGACCTCCCGGTTCCATTGTTGTCGCCGTATATCGCGCAGCAGCCATCGTGGTTACTCCAGGACGAAGCACAGAGGTGCATGTCGCCGATCTCCGAGCATTTCAAATGCGATGGGTGGTGCACTCCTGAATCCGGCGAAAATAAACCCCGCGTGGTGCGTTGGCGAAACGTCCTGCCATGTTGCTTGCTGAGGTTCGCGTCACAGGTAGCATTGGCAGCTGCAGGTGATAATCACTTGACTTGGGACTTGGCCGAAGGAGGGACATTGACCATCGTATGTCATATGTTTTACATTCTTACAGAGCGACTCTGATGCTTTCCCTACAAGGCGTTGATCGATATATTAAGTATGTGCATGGCCAATGAGATAAATCACGGGCTCACGATTACCTTCTGCAGAGACAAAACCAGAAATGCCCTTCGATAAGCTCATGACAGAACTCAGGTAAGAGAGTTCGATCGAAGACTCCAAAAGCTGACAAGCCCTGCCAATGTAGCTACCGTCTCTACGAGATGGCCCAAAGAGTCCATCAATGGTCCAGGGATCAATACAAGAAACGGAAGGCTCCCGGCACCAGGGTGAAGCACGACGACATCGAACTCAACATGATCCCCACTCCACAGGTAAGCGCGTGTCAGCAGTATGGACAGCATACTGCATCACTAATTTCCCCGTAGTTGAGCAGTAACATCAGATTGGTGGGTCAAGCGTCATCATGAGGAGAGGTTGCAACTAATTCTCCGTGTTCGGTAGAACATGTCAGACCGCCTCATCTTATGATCTGGCACCTCTTGAGCTTGTTAGGATAAGCTTGTACGTTCAAACTTCGGTTCGTGTTATTTCGGCAACTTCCTCGCAATGCTGTTGCGACATTGAATGGCTTACAGGACGTGATTTGTCCTCAACATTCACATCCATGTGATATTAGTCTCATGATATTGCGACAATCATGCATTCACGGCACTTGATTTAGACGTTCGCCAACAGATACTGAACGCGTTTCTTGCAAATGTGGGAGTCGGTGGGCATGACCGCCATCGCGACGTAATTCAGCGGCCCTTGGGCTGTGACACGAGGCAAGAGTAAGACGCGGCCGATTCATAGCGAGTTTCCATATACGAACCTTGACCTCGTCTCCCAACGTTCTGATAAACAGGCTTGGCCGCTCCGCCGTCTTAGCACCTTCCTCGCCCGCTTCCCATCCATAGCTCGTCGCAACGGCCATCTTAGTGCCGTCGGAATTGAACGCGACACTCGATACGGAAGAATTGTACTTGTTGTACTGCCGGATACGTTTCTTCAACTCGTGGTTCCACATCGAGACAGTACCATCGCCGCCAGCGGAAGCAAGCGTGTTGTACCTGCGGTGCGAATGTCAGCGACGTTCATCACACGTGAACGTGGCTACACGTACGTGGGATGGAAGGCAAGCGCGTTGACGGGCCAGACATGGTCGACGTCGTCAATTGTTTGTCGGTGTGATTTGAAAGCGTACTTCTTTTGCTGCATCTCCGGACTCGGATCAAAATATTCGACTGCGATGCGACCCTCAACGGAGCCGGTGGCGTATCCTGGGTGGTAACAATGTGTCGGACTTCGACGACTATACGATCAGGTGGCTCACGCACCTTGCCCGTCCACCATGCACGCAAGTGAGCGCGTCATGTACTTCAAACTGCTCTCGCGCTCCTGCGTCGGCCTGTCCATCTTTCGGATATCGAAGATATGGAAGAGTCTGCTGGCCATCGCGACAACCAGCGTGTTCTTGACGAGGTCCAGGGCATAGACGCGCTCAGGCACCGTGTGTGACGCTTGCTGCGCAGCGCCAGGTCCAGCGCGTGGATCCCAGAACCGCACAGTGCTGTCCCATGAACCAGTGACTAGAGCATCTGATGTAGCAAATTAGTAGAGGGCCGGTGTAGTAAGGGCAGGACTGACTGATTTCGGAGGCATAGCTCATGGAGGAAACGGTGCTGGCGTGTTGGCCGATCGGGACGGACTTGTCCGCCTCTAGGTCGAGACTATCATGCTCGAGCAGAATATCAGGACAGAGTCAAGAAATGTTCTCATATGTCGACGCACTGAAGAACTGCCGTGTCCAAACCGCCACTAAAAGCGTGGGTCGCATCGGCAAAGCAGCAAGAAAGTACTGCGGCCCTGTGGTCGAACTTGGACTTCTGCTCGTTGGCAGCGGTATCGTAGAATCGTACAGTCTGGAGACTAGTCAGTTCACAGTGTGCCTGAACAGCCTGAGCGACTAACGGTATCCCATGATGAGACGAGGAGATGACTTGGGTTGCTCGGTGAAAAGCTAACTCGGGAGATGCTGTCGAAAGGAGCCGAGGCTAACTCCACTTGATCTACGAGCGAGTTAGAGGACGAGTTCACGAGCGATGAACGACACTCACCGGACATCACGCCTGTACAGTGTAAGCTCGGACAGGGAGGTAAAACGTATCAACGAGGCGAGCGCCCGGGCACTCATCGCTGAATGATCACGTGACCCGTTAATCTCCTCCGATAAGTACTTATGCTTGCCAGGTCACTGGTCAGTAGTAACATAGAACGTGGTCCATCATTACTCTAAAGCATTCTTCAATTTCGCGCGCAGCTCTGCATCTCCACACCGCATCCGCCACAAACAGCCCTCCTCATCACTCTCCTTCAACCGCAGCACCGCACTGGAATCAGCGGACGAGACCAAGAGTTTCACTTCACCTGAACGACGTTATAGCCCGAGGTGAAATACCTTTCCGTGATAGTTGGACAAGTCTCACCTGCGAACGGTGCTTGATTTGCTGAAATGACGACTACTCCGATGCTTTCCAGCCTCTGTATGCGCCTTACCACTTCCTCTATCCCTACGTCACACCAGCCTCTTGTGTTGACGACGTTCGCAGCGTTCCAGGCTATTTCAAACCGACGTCTTGGTTCTGCCTCCTCAGCATTGCCCGCTGGAGTAGGGCTGCTGGGGTCGGGTAGCTCGGATTCGGACAGGAAAGGTGAGTCGAGTGCGATAAGATCCGGCCGTGAGCGCTACGAATGCTCGTTAGGGTATGAGAAACAATGGTCACGCTATAACGCACAGTGTCATCGGCTTCATAGGTATTTATTTCTACAGGGAAGGGGGCTCTACCTCGCGGAGGCGACTGCAGCAAAAGCGGTATTTGAGACTGTTGCACGTTGAATCAGAATCAGGCGTACCTTGGCTAATGCCTCCAGTTCATAATCTCCTGCGGCGAGGGCAAGCTCTCCCGGCGATACAGTCCTCGGCACGTCCTGAGTCGTTTGTCTTGGGCTCAAACTTAGCGTCGCGAACATCCGCGGGCTCATCTCCTCACGCGCCGACAAACGCGGACTCGTTCCCACCTGTGCAGTGACCCTCGGGCTCGTCCGAGATACAGATCGATGACTCATACTGCTCGTGGGCCGGCTTGAAGCGGAAGCGGGGACGAAGGAATGATCGCGCCGCAATTGCCCATGGGCAAGGGCGGGAGGCGCGTCGTAGGCCGCATATCGCAGTTTTGCGGTGACCGAGCGGGGCGAGTCGGGGGCGCGCGGCTTGCTCAACGGTGATAAAGAACCCTCAGTATGCTTCGGTGAAGTCGAACCCTCAGCTGGAGCAGACGCTTCGAGACCGTATGCAAAATCTGGAAGCTGGCGCAGATTAATCAGCACAGTGGTGAGCTCGAGTACCAATACTCCTACAGAGGATGTTCTCATCCGTTTCACCACCTTCCTAAGTTCTTCCGGCTTCGATGTTAGATCCAGGAACTGGGTGCATCGCTGGGAACATGCACGTCAACAACATGATCAGTTTCAAACGTTCCTGAACTTTACCCGTCGGATATGTTTTCCTGACCCGACAGTTAGGGTACGGACAGCCGTAATAGCGTCTTCTGTTGGACCAGCGTCACCGCATTCCAGGACTAGTCGCATCATCGCTAGTAGACATGCGTCTTGAACTGCCGCTACGATGCCAATCATGATGAGCGATCTTATGTCCGATTACTTCGGGTCAAAGCGTACTGACGTCTGTACGAGTCAAGCTTGATGGAAAATCCGCTCAAAGCTTCCCGAGGGTCCTGGACTCCAGCGGCGGCGTATTCGCAAGCGAGCGCGGCTAGTATGACCATCAACGTCGGACTCGGGTCCGCACCGTCGCGCGCGCCAAGTGTCGCAAGCAAAGCACCGACACTGGAGCGCTGGTATGGGCTATCCCCTACGTAGTCACGTCAATGTGTATGCCTAATTTGAATGAGCTGAGTACTTACCGTCTCGTATCTTCAGCAGCACTGCCTCGACTGCATGTTCCAAGACCGGTCCATGTTGGGGCTTGACGATCGCTTGGCCCTTGCCCTTGGAATTCTCAGGCTCGTGACGAGCCGGGACGTCGTCCGCATCATCCAGGGCTTCCAAAATCTGGATAACGTATTGTGCATATGCATGGCCATCGTCTGCACCTAAGATAGCTGCAAGCTCGAGCAGCCCCGTCGCGCGCGCGTTAAGATCTGCGTCTTGTTGCCGCGGTGATGACAGACGCTGCGCAAAATAGCCACTAACGAGTGACCGATCGACGCGATACAGAATCCCAAGAGTCTGCACAAGACGCACAGGTAAGCGGCGTGCCGGCGGCGCATAGGTGGTGCCTGACCTTCTTTCGAATCAAGCTGTCTGGTGAGTCCAAACATGCCATAATGCGCTCCATCTCCCATGGCTCGAGGGCTGAGTTACCGCTTTCATCTGAACCATTCCCCGCCCAAAGACCGAGGTCGAGGCATTCGAGGCAGTCCAGGAACAAATACTGTGCATTGGCATCGTGCGACGTCAAGAGCGGGCGTATAGGCGAGAGCGGGGAAAGGTCTTTGGCAACCATACTCAATGCCTCCGGCGGATATAGATGCAGCGCTCGATAAGCCTCCAGGAGTAAACCTGCTTCTGTGAGCCACGGGAACTCGACGCAACCCATAAGAACGCACAATGAGGCAAACCGTGCTTTGGCACTTTTAGCTGATGGATCAGAGCCAGAAGTGCGGAAGGATCCGGCGGCGATTGTCTGCAGAGATTGTCAACCTCCACCCCAGCGCTATACGGAGAGAGACGAAGTCTGACTTCAACAAGCAAGCGGCACGTAGTGCACGCCGAGCAAGCCACCGTTTATCGGCCTCCCGGAAGGATACGCGGAGTAGGGCTGCTAGTGTGCCGCGAAGGTTGTCAGCGTCGGCTGTGTTGAGCTATAGATGCCGCATCCGCATATCAGCTAGCATTCGAGTCAGACAAAATGCGGTGTCACCTTTACGATATCAACCATGGCATCCAGGACCGCGTATACGACAGACGGCTCAGGATGCTTGATATTGAGCAAGGATTTGATGCGGACGGGCACACGGCTGAGAAGATCGTCATCGAACTTTGATAACGCTCGGAGGGCATGTACAGTCCTGCGGCGCACGAGTGGGCTGAGTAGAGAAAGTGCACGTTAGCGCTCCCTCGTACGGGAGTGGCAACCCGAATACCTACTGACGATGTATGACCTAGCAACTCGTAGAGTCGGTCCCTGACGGCGGGTACGACGACATCAGATGGCGAGGCTATTATGACTTCTAGGGCAGTGCAGATGCGGGGTATCATGGAGGAAGAAAGATCTTTTAACAACGTATTGACGAGCATGAGGTGAAGGTCGTGTGTAGCTGGGAGTTGTTCTGCGCAAAATAAGTAACCTGTCGTACACTCAGTGGCATCTAACAAGGTTTGTATCGAAGTCTGACGCGTACCAATCCTCCTGTCGCCTAGTGATCCGCCCGCCTCCGCGAGATTGAGCGCGTATGGCAATGCGAATTCCAGGCGGTCGCTGTTGATAACTCCAGGTGCGCTGATTGCAGTCACACAGTACATGATCAGCACCAAAGCCTCTTTGCATTCGCTCTGGAGTATCGTCAAAATCACCCCCTGCATACAATTCCCGGAGTTGCATACCGACGTGGGCGGTTTACGCGTGAAGCGGTCGCGGATCTTGTCCACTTCATTGCTCAGCAACTGATCTGCGACCTGCAGCGTCTGCGCGTTCTCGACATTGCGGACAAGAGTGTAATGGGACCTGCTGAGAGCACCTGAGGAATGAAAGGGCACGTCCATGGGCAAGAACAGAAATGGGTGGCTGCGTCTAGTGGCTACTTTTGATGTCTGGTGGATGATCACTGGCGTGCTTGTATTGACACATATATCGTGCTGCGGTAAAGTACTCGAGCAGAATAAACAGGATGATAGATAGCTTGATTTTGACACAGGCCGTATGTATCGTTATCAATATTTACCCTCGCCAATCCGCAACCTGGAGAACGTGTTTGCCTTTCTGGCGTGCGTAATCGCCCATAGGACCCGTCAACGCTTGCAACTCCATGATCGCGGAGCAGATATCCAACGCAAGCTGACACTGCCCCTCTGCGTCGTGGTGGTCGATCGGTGTTCCGAACCATTCCTTCTTAGCACACGCCGTCCGAATCGTTTCGACACATTTCGGGGTCAGACACTCGAAAGAGCTGCTGAACCGCCGATCAGTACCCTTGAGCAGCCGCTCGTATCGCCGATAGGGGATGAATAAGAGTCTCGGAATACTGAAGAGCGACCGACGCGTAGTTGCCGCTGTCCGGCCGGTGAATTTGTATCGCGCAGAGTCCAGGATATGAGTTGGCCGTCGTGGCTCATCCCCAGGGTCGCTGTGACTTGTGACCATGTTGGAGTATGTTTCCACTAGCTTGAGCTTTTATGAGCCGTCAGCGGAGATTTCCACTTGGGTGAAGTTGCGACCGACCTGCAACGCCATCATGTCCGATACGAGGTCGATGGTTTCGGGATTACGGCTGGCCAACGCCTGATTGACAAGCTTGCGCCCTCTCTTGTAGTCCACCTTGCCCCCGTGGGTCCACTTCTCCACTATCAGCTCTCGCGCCGGCTTTCCATCCAAGCCCATGACGAGCGCGCCTTGCACACGAATGCCGTAATCTAGAGTGGTTTGTATATTTTGCCTCGTAAGACGCAAAGTCGAAAGATATGCTGTCGTTGTCTTTTCTCCGGCTTTGTTGGTCCAGGCTGAGAGCATCATGATGTCACGTAGGAGCATGAGCGACGTGCACACTTGCTCGGTGAGGAGTTTCTTGTACACCAGATGAGTCATGACAGCATCTCGCAAGAACCCTTCCGAAAGGTAGAACGACAGTACATCTGCCACAGGCAAAGAGTCGATAACGGCATGTACCTGACCTCTTGTGGATTAACCAAGTGCACGCGTGGCAGGATAGGCTCGTATGTATGCGCACCATCTCGATGGGCAAACCCTTCAATCCCTCCAGTTGTTGGGATTGGTCCTTCCGTGCGGACAGAGCCTGCAACTTTCGCTGGGCTACACTGGCCGCCCATGCCTCATCGGTCTGGAAGGAACGTGGTTCACCGCCTATCGAAGAGGTCGAGTCGTTCATTTTCCACGCAGTAACCAAGTTGGAGGTGGACGTTTGGGCCTAGGAGGGAACGAGCGATGTATTTTACGTCTGACGAGTTCGTAAAGCCCTCAGCGACGATATGTCCCATGAGCTGCTGCTACGTCGACGGAGTCATGATGCATGATGAATGCCCGTGGCACTCGTCCCGATCCGTCTCGTCTTGTCTCGCACCCCTTTCGGCGCGCCACCACAACCCCCAGACAGCTGGCCGCCAACTACCCATCAATATTCGCTCGGTCTCTCATAAGAGCTATACGCGATGGATTCTCTGGCTGCAGAAGACGAGAAGAAACCCTTTGACGCCGTTCTTGGGCAGAACGAAGAGGAGACGCTGCCTGACCCCGACGAACACCTCATATACCAAGATGGTCCGCTGGGCCGCATTTGGCTCGCCAAGGTGAGCGCGTCGCTCCCCTAGTCGGCATTGGCTACATCCGGGCACTATCAATTGGATGTAAGATACCTAAGTTTCTGCTCGAGAGGTGGTCAAGGGTCGATCAAGCGAATATACACCTTGCCACGATCCGAGTGTATCCGGAGGAGGTTAACCCGGTCACCAAGAAGAAACCTCGCATATTCCTGATGCTACCACCGGAAGATCCAGAGAAGTGAGCTGGCTTCCGCATTGCCTAGCTTTCCGACTCCTCCTTTGTACTTCGTCACTCATATGTCGCGCGCATGCTGACTGACTCATGATACAGCGCAGATCATCCAGACAGTTACGAACTTGACATGGTCAACGACATGGTCGAAAACCAGTATGTGATCGCCGAGAAACCGAAGGCCGCAATCTATACGCCAAATGGTAACTAAACCATCAACTCCGGAACCATCTGGACGTGCGACATTTAACTTCGTCATCCCAGGGACCCCCGGATCTTCATATAGCATGCCACACTCCCAATCACAACCTTCCTCGCGTCCTGGAACCCCATCTTCCTTCCGTTCCCCTGCGGCGACCCCGCTCCCCACCGCTTCCCCCATGCTTTCTTCTTCTCAGTCTTCCTATTCGCATGTCAATTCTCGGGCTCGGTCGACTATGCTGGCGGGCGCCGTCCGACATGAATGCAACGTTCGACCTATGTTCACCTCGTCGTACCGCCGACGAATGAAGGCGCGGAGCGTCGCCGCGAATACGCCATTGCGCCAGATACGTATGATTGACGACGTGATCTCGTCGACCGACGGAATTAACAAGATCAACATGCTGAGCAGCGGTGTACAAGACTCTAGCGCGTTCCGCGGCTTTGTCGTACGTTTCTCGGATCGTCCGCGGAGAGCATTGCTAACAAACGATTGAACAGAAAACCAAACAGAAGCCTCCCAAGGGTCAATTCGAGCGCATGGCAAGGATGCCCAGGAATCAGCTTCTCGATATGCTGTTTTTTCTGTTCAGGCAACAGGAGCGATGGCCGATCAAGGTCTTTTCTTCTCCCACGCGTGCAAGGCTCCGTTTTAATGAACGTGTTGTTATCAGATTCTTCGCGAGCGAACCCAGCAACCGGAGGTGTATCTCAAAGAGGTGCTCTCGGAAATCGCAGTCCTTACTCGCAGTGGCGAATTCAGTGGGACGTGGGAGCTTAAGCCCAACTTCCGCGAAGATGGGGTGAGTCATTGCTGGTCATTCTATCGGAGACCAGGTTCTGAGCACAACGTCTCTGTAGATCAAGGCGGAGCATGTGCCACTTCCGCCTGTCCCGTCTGCTTCTTCAACGTACGGATTCGATCCGAAGGAAGAGGCAGAGGATCTCAGCATGGGTGAAGACGAAGACGAGGAGGATGACATGGAAGAAGTATCATGATAGTCGGATAATGCATGCCGCTACATGTTCCCTCAAGGCCTTCAGCAACAGAATCTGGCGCGCAACGTAAAGTGGGACCGTGTTAGCCGTGGATCCGACGTCTCTTGCGCCCTGTTGTTTGTTGCCCAAGCCTCAGCTCCCCGATGTTCTTCCTATCCAGGGGTTTCCTTCTATCAGCACGCTAGCATATCTAGCGGCATCTGTGCCATAATGATGGCCGTCGTGACGCACGGCCAGCAGGCTCCTTCCTGACGGCTGCGTATGTACATTACAGTATGCTCGATATCCAATAATAGCATATATGCAATATATAGTCTTCGGGTTGAAGGAGAATGCTTTCCAGGTATGGCGACGAACTAGCTACCGAAATCTAGGTGTTTCGTTCACGCGGGCCCCTAAAACAGTATGGTGCTTGACATCTATCACCGGGCATCTACACTACATTAGGAGATATAAAGTAGGGAGAAAGAATATAGTTGATTCGTCTAAGTATCATCCGCAGCCAGAACTACCATCATGAACAACACAGTTTTACGAGATAACAAAGGAAATAAATGCCACGCCCAGCGAGCACATCACGGCAAAAATAACGGGCCCCTTGCATTACATTGCATGGTGACGCGTAGTATTTTGGTGGGATCGTAGGCTATCGAGACGAGAGAACTGTTTTTCGCATCCCTCGGCGTGACAGACGAACGCTTCGCGATTCGGTTCGTGTATTTTCTCATGGCGCTTGAGGTCAGAGCGGCGGGTAAAGCGACTTCGACAGTTGGATGCCGCGCATTCAAATTTCTTGATCCCTGCATGGACGTCCAAGTGGCCTGAAAGAAAGTGTGCTTAATGCTGGCGCCCATGACACCATGGGATACTTACTGATCAGATTCGCTTTTGTTGTGTAGCTGGACTGGCACCCTGCATGCGGGCACTGGAATTTCTTTGCGCGATTTGCCGCGCTCGCGTGCGGTCCTGTTGTGCGAAGGTTACTGGTGAATGACACGGAGTCATTGGTGCATGCGCCATCGGATGCCCTAAAGCCTTCGCCATCCGTAACAGTCGATCGCCCGGCTCTCATCTCGCCAGCAGAGGTTGCGAACGCGCGGGAGTATGGGATACTAGGAACGATATTGCTGGGTCCCACCTGCTGAACGGTCCTGGGAACACGTTCGCTGGGGTAAGGCGTGCTAGCCAACACTGAGAAGGTGCGGTAGTTCGAAGGACCGGCTTCCGTCTCCCACATGATATCGGGGCTTCTAAATGACTGATCAAGGCCTGGATGGAAAATTCGTAGCAGTGAGAACAACGTTCAGAGTTTATAAGTGCGCTTGTGCACACCTTCTATCGTCGATCCTGATGTCGCATTATATGTCATGTCGGTGTTTGGTGGCATTGGAAGTTCATATCCCTCGAATACAATGCCGTCGAGCGCCGGGGCATATGTCATGAACGCTTAGTAATGACACGCAGAATAGAGTAGAACCTTGTAGAAGGCGCTGGAACGCGCCTAAAGGTTCTAGGACTTGTAGTGACTCAGGTTATGACTCGACTGTGACTCATAAGGAACATTGTAGAATAGTATAGAACGTTGTGGTAGGTACTGGAAGGTTCTAGTACAGTACTTGTATAGTAGTATATAAGACGCTAGCTGAAGTCGATGGACTTCAGCTCGTCCATTTGTTATACACGCCCTTAGCGCCATAACGATTGACGGCTCGGTTACGGCCTTTTAGACTTAAGACTAAGACACCGCTACCTACACAAGAACGACACTCGACCTAGTGCGCCTAGAGTCTTAACTCTCACGCCTAAGTCACACGACACAGCCTAGACGACAACGACAGACTTTACGCCAAGTCTAACAACCACGACGGTTCGGTACCCGCCTAAGGTACCACGATCTAGGGGTTCTTACACTTGGACGAGCTCTTACGCTTGTCTACTCTGTGTCCTTGAAACAAGACGGATCGAGGATTTGAATTTGA